TTCATCATTTCGTTAAAAATAAAAGTATATTAAAACTTTACTGTATATACTATATATTCTATATACTGTAAACTTTACTGTATATACTATATATTCTATATACTGTAAACTTTACTGTATATACTGTATATTCTGTGTATTACTGTATATTCTATATACTGTATATACTGTATATTTTCATCCTTCTTAGAATATACGAGTAAAGTGAAGTCAAGTTACCGTATATATAATATTACATGTATATACAATAGAAGAGCTATTTTCATCCTTCTCAGAACACACAAATCGGGTGAATCAAGTTCACAAAGTTAAATCGACCATTTTTCAAAAATGAAAGATGAAACGTTTGATCGAGAGGAACGTGGCGATACGTTTCGTGATTCGTAATGCAAATCGTTCGTTTCGATCGCTTTCTAAATGCATCCCACGAGACCGGGAGTACCAGGCTAGGCTTTCAATCACGCGAATCATTGAGAGCAGAAGACGAACACTTCCTCCTTGCTGTCTGCTCTAATCTGAATAACCATCGCTCCGCGAGATTTATAATAACGAAGAAAGTAACAAGGAGGAAGGTAACGAAGGCTGATCCGATGCATAGATAATCTTATAGCAATCGATTCGTTTAGTTGTTAACCTCACTCTCGAAAGAAACGATCTCCTACATCTCGCGTAATTACGAATCAAGCAAACATATTTTCCAATGATTATTCAGTTTTTTCATTCGGTTTAAAGGTTCGGTTTTTTGAACTATCGATTGTTTTTCTTCGCGTTCTTTCCTTTTTTTCAAAGGGAAGTGAGTTTGATCGGCCATACCAGCGCGAGTACCATTTGAATAATCGAATAATGGAATTGTTGAGCATGCACGACTCGATTTCTTGGTCGATGTCGCTTCTGCACTCGGCTCCTCCGCTTCGGAAAAGGGCAAATTCCTGGGGCACAATTTAACGACAAACGCTGCTGGCCGGAGCCGGTTCGTTTCACAATGAAATTTCGATACGAATAGGAATACACGGATTCGTAACGTAGCTGTTCGCAGAACCGATGTGCCAACGTGAGTTAGCCAGTAAAAAACATAGACGATTTCACTTTTTTTCGACCTGTGCCCGACCTACGAAGCAGAATTCGAGGATTTTTGAGGAACCTTTCGTTCTCTGGTTACGTTAACGATTTTCGACGAGAATAAATTAGAATAATAGTTTTGTTGTTACGAGACACGCTAATCAAATGTTTCTGCCGCACGAGAAAAATATGTTACTATTGGTCATTGGTTTTTATTATAGTTAAAAAGAAGTAATTATACCTTTATAGGTTACATATTTGTTTAAACAAACTATTTGTGGCAAATTAATTAAGTTTCACAGCTCTCAGACAGCAACAGTAAAGTGATCAACCCAATCATGTATAGCACGATTTGTGCGTGATGTTGAGCAAAAGAATTTGGCATAATTTTACAGTTATATTTTAACCATTATAATTATAACGTACAATAATGTTAGCTCTGCAAATTTTATTAATCACTGCAGGTACATCTGCACTCAGAAATCTTAGGACAAGTACATTTTATAGAATAAAAATATAAAACATATGCACAATATGCAATATATTATAATATAAATTATTGTATTTACAATACAATAAATACAATAAATGTAAAACATACTTTGTATAATAAAGACTTCGTTAATGTATTAACATATACACTACAATGCATAGATATAATAAAATTAAATTAAATAACAAAATATATTTATTTGAACTTGATTTTAAATTAAAATTAAATACAATACGTGCAATATAATTAAATACAATAAATGTAAAACATATTTTGTACAGTAAAAACGTTAATATATTGTATTATACATATATTATATTATTACATATTGTATTATAAAATACGTATATACAAGTGTTGAACATTGAAAATTAAATCGTCCCAAGACTTTTGAGCGGTAGTGCGCATTTAACAATGCAACTCTCTAAAATTATCAAATACCGATCTCAAAGTAATCAACAAACGCCATCTACAGCGTGTTCTCTCTCATCAACCTATCAATCACGCTGACAATTCCATCAATGGTGTCACAAATCAATCCTCGGTCTCGCAGTTTATTGTTCCACCTAATTGTATACCAAACGAAACAACCTAATGACCACCTCCATTCATCGTTCGTCACCACGAAACATCAAATTATACCGTGTACGATTTGATCCGAGCACGCTTATTAAATCGTTCTCACGCGAACGAAATCGTTCGCCAGGCAAAGGGTAAATTCCATCCGGCCGGGTACGTGATCGTCTCTGGTCGCGAGCCGTCGATTTGCCTGGCAACCTGCCGGCGGAACGGTCGAAAGATTCGTTGGCATTTACGTGTGTCAGTCCGTGTCGCGATGCCAACGGACGGGACGACGATGGTGCAATAGACGCTCGTACCAACTTCCTACCGAGCACCTTCGTCATCTGGCCCAAAATGCCATCCGAGACCTTGCTTGAATCTGACATTTCAAAGCTAGGCTGAAGCACTGGAGGTTGAAGAATTTCGTCGTTGGATATTCTTGATTTCTGAAGAGTAAACTTTTGGAAGATCACACACTCTCTCTCTCTCTCGTTCTAAGAATTTCTTGAGTCTTATTTATCTCAGGATGTGAAAGATCGGAGGATTTTTTTGGATTTCATCCAGATTCAGATTTTTGAGATGTGACGATGATTGAAGGATCACTCAGAGAATTTTCCAGTCTCTTCCGACTTGACAAGCGAAGAAGTGAAGAAGTATTTAAGATTCGCTTTCTTAATGCGAGCGTTCTCTAGATATTCTCGTTCTAAAATTAAAAGAATCGTAGAATTTTCTGTTTTTTTCTCATTGATCAATATTCTATATTTTCAGAATTTTGGCCCTTTCTATATTTGAATGATAAAAGCAAGAATATTTTGTAGATCTTCTTCCAGTTTAAAGCAAAAAGGATTTAAGGTCTCTTCCTATTTTAAGGATCTTCCCATTTTAAGAAACCAAGTATTTCCAGTTTTGTACTGTATCTCAAGTTTTGTAGTGAGTGATCCATCATACCGAATATGTATAGCGAATACGACAAAATCGATTTTTTTCTCTGGAAATGTCAAAATGCCTAAGACAAATCTTTGCAAACTACACGACAATTCTATTTCATGAACTACGATACTGCGATATCAGCTTACTGTACTTTTCTCTTCTTTATCTGATCGCTTGTACTTGATATTGTATAAAACTGGATATCTACCCGTATAAATAAAGTAATAAATAAATACAATTATAATAAATATTATAATTATAAATATATTTACTTTTAATTATAATTTATTTATAATATATATTTAATTTTATAATTGGAATAATAATAAATAAATAAAATAGATAAAAAGTAAATAAGTAAAACGAATAAATCATAATTTCTAATGTTTCGAATGTTGTAAAACTGTATATAGCAAGTGTACGTGCAATTTTCTAATCCAAAGTAAGGAAAGAAGAGTCTCAGGAAGCAGATTCGAGCGAATACATATATCATTAAAGCACTTCAATTCAGATCGTAAGACGCGTTACCGATGGCAGGATCGAATTAGAAAGACAAATGACTGCAAATGGCTCCTGGAGCTAACGTTGCATCTACGGCTGAATGAGTGCAGTTGCATCCAAGTCCGTTTCACTTTCGACGCGCTTGAATTTCCAAAGCGACGGAAAACTTGGTATATTTTCACTGTTACCTAACAATCCTCGTTGCGAAAAATTTCACAAACTGCATCGCCCTGACTTTACCACAATTCTGTTTCCATTCGCATGCAAACATATCAATGATTCGATAGTACTTTCGTTCGAGGATAACAACGGTTTTTCTATTCGAATCTGTGGATTAAATCGTGCATTTCGTTGCAGCTTCATTTTTATTTGAAACGGTGCGCTCGTGAATCATACTGCCTTGCAACAACGTTCCGGGCAGTAAACACTGCATCGATCTCGCGATTTTATCACCGAGGATCGTTAAACTGATCGTTAAGCCGAGAGTCGAAGTTACGGTAATACGCGGCTGTGGAATCGCGACCGTGAATTCGAAACGATCAAATCGTACGTGCTTTCGAGACTTTCGGTTCGTAACGTGAAGGAAAGTTTGAAGGGAATTTTTTATAAATTCGTTTCACGTGAAATCAGTAAGATAAGAGCACATTTCAATTGTTACCTCGCAATCACTTGAAATATATAATATATAAAGTAGGTACATAAAACGATACAATTCATTAACTTCTTAAGAGATATTGCGTACAATATCTCATACTTTCGCATATAGTTAATTCTACAATGGTTACTTATATCATTTCCCTCAAAATGATTCTTTTACTTTGAATAAATTTCTTGAAAGAATCGAAGTAAAACTTAATACCATGTTTAAGTAACAAGGCACGCGAATCATTTAAAAGATGTTGATTCTTTGTTGTTATCTAAATACATCTTCAACAACGCTGTTCATAACTACACAGACATTTTATTCGATTTTAAATATTACCGCTGAGTGTGAGCCTAATCACAATCTATTAACGTTTCAATCATCCCTATCCAATCTAATAATTTAACAACCAAACTAGCCGAGGATAAGGAACAACAAAACTGTCCCATAATATTCATCAGGTAAAAATCTTGCCAAGAAAATCCCAATGAAAATGAAACCTTTTGTAGAAAACCTACGAGAAAGAAAGAATTTTGTTCGAAAATATCAGTAGATGTGCTAGCAATCGTATCTGACATTGTGTCAATCCGCCAGCGTTCGTCGAGAACCAAAATGACACGTCGTCCCACGAGGGCGAAGAGTGGGCTCGTTGTCTTCCAGCGGAGATACTCCTACGCCACTGCATCCTGGGGAGCCAGGAGCAGTGGTACCGATCGTCGGATCGGCGGTGAACAGCAACGATCGAAGAACGAAAAGGAAAGAGGGGGCCCAACAGGGTTCATCGTGGTGGTGGAAATATAAGGCGCGACGAGTGGCGGGCCTCAGTCAGTCCGTGAGCGGTACCTACGCCTTCAAGGTCCGTGTCCTTGAAGCCGACACGCTCGTCTCGATCTATCGGAGAACGTTGCCTCTCAGGGCGGCCGCGAGCGCTGTTTCTTCGTCTCGGTTTCTTCCTTTTCCGGAAGTGGTGCTGGGAAAACTCGCGAGCTCCTCGTTCGAACGCTCCAGCAAGGTTCTTCTCCCCTCTCCCTCCCCCACCACTCACTATCCCGTCGTCGATCGAGACAGACGAGTGAGAGACGCACCGGGCCAAGTCAAACGCCGTGGATAAATCGGAGTCTCGTGAAACACGAAAACGTTCATCGGGAACCGGAAGCGCCGTTCCTTTCGTTGGACGAGGATGAGGTCCTCGCTGGTGCTGCTGTGCCTGGCAGCCATCGTTCTCGCCGGTGAGTAAGGACACTTTCGGTGACTTTCACAGCCTCGCGAGGCAAACCAGTGTGTCGATGACCGAACGATTTAGGGTGATGAACAAAAGTTAGTTAGTGCTGTCGTCGTATCATTGGCGAGGTTCAAGAGAATCGCTTGGCAAGCTAATCTGCCACGGCAGCGAGCGGTAACATGGTGGCAGTCGTGATTCGAGATTCGCGAAGGAATTTTCAATATGGAATTGAATTTCACCCTCTGTTCCTCGTTGCACGAGCCAGTGTTTTCGTTTGTTGGTCGCGCGTTCAAAGACACGTCGCTCCTCTGCTAGGATTTTCTACTCGCAGCAACTTTTGTTAATTAATCGTAAGAATACGAAACAATCACCGGGGTCGTTTAATTGATTCTTTGAAACGTTGCGCCGCAGTTTGCTTCTTAAGCCATAGTGCGAGCAATAGCCTTGCTACTTCTTAAGATCGGTCTCCGGTTACTTTGACTCGTTCGACTAATGCACAGAGCGTTTGGGTAGCGATAGAAAATGTGAAACGACCTACTACGTGAAATATTGAATTTAAGAGGAATCGGTCGAACAGCAGCAGCAGCAGCAGCAGCAGCAGCACGTGAGCCTCGAAATGGCGAGAGGCGGCGGTGTTCATTTTTCTCTCTCCTCCCCTCTCCCCTCGTGGCGCGGTTTTCCTCTCTCGATTATACGGGACGATGGACGCTTTCGAGGAGTCGCTGGTATGGTGACGGGTGAAAATCGGACGGAATACGATTCTGGCGGTCGACAGAGGCGACAGGTTGCATAAGAGATTAGAGCGTGAAAGCCTCTGGTTCTGCTCGGTCCCGAATGGGTGACGTCACTGCCGTGCCCTGAAAAACGGGGTGGGGGACGCAACTTTCCCCGTTTGTCGCGGTGCTACGCGATGCCGACACCGGCACCCGGGACCAACGGGACTCAGGTGCATGCCCAAATTGATCTACATTAATTACATTTTGGTTTCTGTTGTTCTGTCCGGCCAAACTTTGGTTTCGATATAACGGTCGTTGCCTTTGCGTTTTTTTTTTTTTTTTTTTTTGAGAATTCTTTACAATTGAGCCGTTTGTTTTGAAAGTGGCGTAATGAAAAAATGGCGATTCGTCAACGTCTGTATGAAATTATTAATATCGAGAGAAATATAAATACATGAATTCGTACATAAATCTTCTCGAAAGTTGGCGTCAATTTTTCAAAATGCTTAAATATTTGAAAACGAAGTGACTTGTATTAAAGGTAATTTTAGACATTAATACCATTCGACTTTGGTCGGCACTTTACATAATCAGTTTTTGATCGTTGAAAATATCTACATTTTTCAAATATTAATTTCAGTTCTTTAGTGCCAACATTTAGGTTAGAAAGCATTGATATAGTGCTTCATTATTGAGAAGTTCTATAGATATTTTAATATTGATCCGTTCATTTTAGTTCTTCAATGTCAATTTCTCCCCTTTGAAACACCCGTGGATTGATTTGTCCATTGAAAAGTTTAAATGGTTCTCAATACTGACTTTCAGTTTCAAAAGTTGCTGTAGAATGCCCGACGATCGGTAAACAGATACTTTAATACGTACGCGCAGATCTTGTTGCAGCTTAAAATTTATAAACCAGTTGACACAAATCTCCTCCTCTCTTTGAACCGGTCTCTTCAATGGTTTCCGATTATGAAAGTGTTTCTAAGGTGTAAGGTTTTCGGAAAGGTCAGTAAATGCCTCAGCAGACATTCTCTTTGAGAAGAATATACACGTAACGTATGTAGACCTTCGACTTTGAAACCGAGTGCGGTATAATTAGTTTACGAAGGAAGCGAAAGAGCGCCAGATGTAACACCGAGAAAGAGATGATGTCGTAAAATAAGATGGATCATTTAGTATAAAGTATTTGTAGAATTCTCAATTTTCAAGGAGATCCGGTGATTAGACCTCGCGGGTGGATACATCATTCTTTAAAATTACATTGGAATTTCACTTTCCATCGATTCTTCTTATCCATGGGGATTCCAATTCCCAGTAGCCTAATTTTCTTCCTAATTTTTCTTTTTTTTTTTTCTTTAGTATTTCGCATTTCTTTCGAGATTCGTTAATGACGTTTTCTCAAAGTTTAAAATTATTTTAAATTCGTTTTTTATTTTCTCTACTATTCGGCAAAACCAATCGAATCGGCTTTCTTCGTTGCGAAATTTCTTCAAGAAGATACAACTTTCTCTCGAAAAGCTAACAAGCCGAGTTTGCATCCTTTAGATTGCACGTCGTTATATCTCGCGGGACAACTTCCTCAAAATTGTGTCGGCTAATAAATTTTACAAAAGTTGAGACTGAAAATAGAAAGTTATACAGAAAATTTTAAGCTACAACAATGCACATCCGTTCAAACCGCAAGATATATATAATTTTTTCTGTATTAGCATATATTTTCTGCATAAGTATTGAAACTATTGTAACAGATCAATAATTGTTTATTTTTCGATTGACTGTATACAGGCCAACTGTTTACTCCAATATTGCGTGTATTATTAAAGAAAGGAAACCAGCTCGGAAGGGTTAAATAATCTGATAAATCTTGTAACATCACGAGTAATTCCGAATGGAATGCAAAGTCGTGTTAATAAAACACAATGCCGTTCGAAACACGCGAGACAGCTTTCTCCGTTCGCTGCTTTGATATAAAATTAACGCGAGGTCGAAACTACAAATAGAGGAAAGCAACATGTGTTTCCACGCACGCTAAAAATCTGTTGTTTCTGGCTTCGCTTTCTCGAGCGGAGTGCTCGTTCCCGTTCGTTTGATCGAGAACCACCGCGAAACGAAAACAATGCCACGTGCAGCGAATTTTCAAAGCGCGCTTCGTTTCCCTTTTGAAACAAAGCCACTTGACGAGCAAGCAGTTTTTCCTCTCTGTTCCCTCCTCGTTAGAAGAGAGATCGTACAGGTAGAAATAAGTATGAAAAAGATATTTTATAAAACAGCGTTTCATAAAAAGTTTGGACACGAGTTACGTAAGCAAGATATTGGCAAAATCGTATATATATATTCGTAACTCTTACGTAAATTGTGCTATTGATTTTCTGCTTCCGCCTTTATTAAACGTAAGAAGTCGATTATTCGCGGTTAATTCGCAGAGGAAATGATTTTTGTATTTAGTGCACTGTAAATTACCCTGGATCACAAATGATTTTACTGTGGTTATGTAAAAGTGACGAGAATCGATCGCGTTGTGAACAGATCGCTAATGATTTTAGAGGTTACGTAAAAGTGACGAGAATCGATCGCGTTACGAATAAAATAGATACGAAAAGGGAAAAGGGGAAATTTTGGTTCATGCTAATCGCTGGTCTTCAGTTCGTCCGATGGAAGACGACGATTCTGTAATTTGGCGAATAAATAACCATAAAGCAACGTTGTATCGGCGTCAATTTCACACTTTCCATAATCTTGCCGCTGATATCTTCGCGGTTACGCAATCGCACGTCTCGAAATTTCACCGAAGAAGTCGCAGTTAATTGTTAAGAAGCTTTATGCAAACACTTTTATTCGCAACGATCCTTCGTGACAACCAGGAGAATAACATCGAAACAAGATTTTAATACAAATATTACTGTTATTACTGTAATACTGTAATTTTATGAGCAATAAATCACGTGTATAAAAGAAAATATTATGTCGACATTGCATTTCTTACGAAATCTTCGCAAGTGTCATACTTTTTAATGCTAAACCTATCGACGATTAAAGTTTAAAGTGTCAAAGGAAAACTCGTCGAACTTTCTGTGAATTGGCCAATTGAGGCCATTAGCTCCTCTAGTGCTAATTCATTTATTTCTGCAAATTGTTATTATCGAATTAACTTTTAATTATAAATTAACTATTTTCACCATTCCAGTGATTGTAATGTCAATTCATTTGTTCTTTTAATATTCACGGTTATTTAGTTACTTTTCATGAAAAATGACGAAATTTTTAACCATTTCAATATAATTTATTTCGCGAAATCACCATTTCATTGTTAAAATATCCTCTGTGAGTAAAAATGATATATCAATGTAGGATAAATCTCCTTTACAAAAATCTACAATTTCTCCCTCTGCCAATTTCCTTTTATCAACTCATCATCATTGAGATCTCAGACGAGAAATCAGGATGGCATTCCTCTATAAAGACACCACGAACCGCTTTATTTTAGAAGGGACCAACCGCGTGAAGCGACAAGAGGATAAAAAGGAGGAGAGCTTCGAGAACGAGATCTGCAAGGACAAGGATGCGGGCGAATGGTTCAGATTGGTGGCAGGAGAGGGTGACAACTGTCGCGACGTGATTCAGTGCACCAGCTCCGGTCTCCAGGCAATCAGGTGTCCCGCGGGACTGTACTTTGACATCGATAAACAGACCTGCGACTGGAAAGATTCCGTGAACAACTGTAAACTGAAGAACAAAGAAAGAAAGGCGAAGCCTCTGCTCTACACCGAGGAACCACTCTGTCAAGATGGCTTCCTCGCTTGCGGCGACGGCTCTTGCATCGAGAGAGGCCTCTTCTGCAACGGGGAGAAGGATTGTGCGGACGGATCTGATGAAAACATTTGCGGTGAGTTCGCAGTGGAGAAACTCTTCTCCGTAATAGAAATTCGATCGTTTCGAAGGATTTCGTAATTGCAGATTTTCATTGTTAGTTATTCGCTCTTCCTTAACGGCCGCCTTTCGAAAATTGGAAATTCAACGTGAGAACTACGTAAATCAACGATATCATTGAAAATACCAGCATACCCGGGGAAAATTCGTATTTCATTGTCCTTGTTTGAAACGACTTTCTGGTCACTAAAGAAATTGAGGAAGTTTAATTTTAGTTTGATAATAATAAAAAAAGAGAAACTCTCCGATCGTGTTTGTTGTTCTTCGATTGACGAATAAAGGGGGTGTCGTGGGTCGATAAAAAATTACAGATATGGACAACGACCCGAACAGGGCGCCACCCTGTGACCCCACGGTTTGCGTCCTTCCCGATTGCTTCTGTTCCGAGGACGGTACCACGATCCCCGGCGATCTACCTTTCAAGGACGTACCGCAGATGATCACGATCACGTTCGATGACGCCATCAACAACAACAATATCGGCCTGTACAAAGAGATCTTCAACGCGAAACGCAAGAACCCGAACGGTTGCGAAATCAAGGCCACCTTCTTCGTCTCTCACAAGTACACCAACTACTCGGCTGTCCAGGAAATGCACAGGAAAGGACACGAGATCGCCGTTCACTCCATCTCGTAAGAAAACATGCCCAAGTATCCCTTTCTTGAGTTTTTCCCAAATTTTTTTGTCGACCAAGTATATTATATAACGTCTCGCCCCAAATTTCAAAGAGTATAAATTCTCACAGTAATCGATCACCACAAAGAGATAAATTATATTGACGATACAATTGGCGTTAATTGTGGAATGAACGTTTTGTGTTTCAAGTCACAACGACGACGAACGTTTCTGGTCGGACGCGACAGTGGACGACTGGGCTAAAGAAATGGCTGGCATGAGGATCATCGCGGAGAAGTTCGCTAATTTGACGGACAACAGCGTGGTCGGTGTTAGGGCACCGTACCTCAGAGTCGGTGGTAACAATCAGTTCACGATGATGGAAGAACAGGCATTCCTCTACGATTCTACCATCACCGCGGCCTTGAACAACCCGCCGCTATGGCCTTACACGATGTACTTCAGAATGCCGCATCGTTGCCACGGGAATCTTCAACACTGTCCTACGAGGTAACCTAATTTCCAAGTAGAAGAACGAATTACTCCAATCCGATTAAACACTTCGCGTTTCAACGATTAACGCTAATTCTGAATACTAGTTTGTATCTTGAAATAATCGAGCATCTCTTGTAACTAATGTAAGAGTATTTGTACTCGTGTTACTGCTATTGAAAGAAAATTGGCCCGAATCGAGCTGCTACACTTAAATAAATACTATCAAGAATCATTCTTGGGATTAATAAATTCCAGAGTATTCCAGATGATTATTCTCAATGACAGTCTTCATTTTTAACATTACGTCGAATATTATTTCGAATTCAACGAAGCAGCTACGTTTTCGCGACAAATCCCACGAACAGTAGCAGCTTGATTCACTCCCACCACCTATCGAGCGCCAAATTTCCTGTGCAGGTCGCACGCAGTCTGGGAGATGGTGATGAACGAGTTGGATCGCCGCGAAGATCCACAGAACGACGAGTACCTGCCCGGCTGCGCGATGGTGGACTCTTGCAGCAACATCTTGACCGGCGACCAATTCTACAATTTCCTGAACCACAACTTCGACCGGCACTACGAGCAAAATCGCGCGCCCCTGGGTCTCTACTTCCACGCGGCCTGGCTGAAGAACAACCCCGAGTTCCTAGACGCGTTCCTCTATTGGATCGACGAGATCTTGTCCAATCACAACGACGTTTACTTCGTGACGATGACCCAAGTGATCCAGTGGATCCAGAATCCTCGTACGATAACGGAATCGAAGAGTTTCGAGCCGTGGAAGGAGAAGTGCGTGGTCGACGGACCTCCCGCTTGCTGGGTACCTCACACCTGCAAACTGACGTCGAAAGAGGTACCTGGAGAGACCATCAACCTTCAGACCTGCGTGCGTTGCCCCAACAACTACCCATGGGTGAACGATCCGACCGGTGACGGGTTCTTCTAAATCCGCCGAGTCGCATTCCTCTTTCTCGTCTAAGTCAAATCCTTTGATTCTTCTCTTGCCTGTCGTTTTGGGCGTTCACCTTTGATCACCTTCCTCTCTATCCTAATCCCCGCTTCCTCAGCTCCGTCCTACCATTGGTCGATCATCCTTCACGAGTTTCACGGTGGACGTGGGGTCGCCGGCGACGTTTTCGATCGGGGAACACGGCCGGGAGAGCTTCGAAGAATATTGCTTCCGTCGCGACACAAAGTGTAGTCGTATAAAGATTTGGACGAAGCCTTTCGGTAGACTGTTTTCAGAGAAACACGAAGAGAGCAGTCAAAGACGTGATCGCTGATAAAGTGGAGAATCGAGCTTCTGCCGATCGGCACGCCGATCGAAAACCGTCCATCACGTCACCAACGATCTGTGATAACATTCCGAGCGGCTCGAGATTCAGCGACCAGGACGACGAACGACGAGACGAACGAAATATATTGTATTTTTCCTTTTCCTCTCTTTTCTCTCCCAAGACCACGAACGATTTCTCCCCGGCCTCCACGAAGCCTGACCTGGAGAGAAACGACGCGATCACAGCGCGAAGAAAGAAGAAGAAAACAAAAACAGAAAAGGTAAAACAAGGATTACTATCGCGTGTAATATATATATATATATACGGAACGCGCGTCCCAGCCTGTCCCTGACAAAAAGAAAAGAAAAAAAAAAAAAAAAAGAACGGATCCCTGATACCACACGGCCAGAGGACACGACGAATTTAGCTGGAAGGTCGGGCTGCGGTCGTCCTGCTGACCCAGGAAAAAATGAAAGTAAAAATCGATGATCCCCTCAGCGACCGCCAAAACTCCCTGTAACGAAAAGGCGGACTCCCTTATTTTTCTAAGGGTGAGCCAAACTTTTTATATATATATAAATAAATAAATATATATATATATATAAATAAATATAAAATATCGTGTATGTATATTTTTTAAAGCTAAGTGATATTATCAGTTTTACTGTGTTGTCGATGGAACCATTAATAAAAGAGAAACCAGCGGAACACGAGAGTCTCTCATTCGCACTTCCCATCCCTTTTGAACAGGAATTTCTCGGCGAGGAAAGTGGAACGGATTCGAAGTCTCGAGTTTGCCAAGTTCGAAGACCTCTCGTTGTTCTTCTCGGGCTCTTTCGTTTTGTTATTCGTTCTCCAACTGTAGCTGAGTTTAAAATCCTCTAAATTGTCATTTAATTCAACTCCAAGACACAAAACCCTGAACCATAAAGTAATATTAAAAGAATTGTACAATGAAACGATATCGATGCATCTTTTCTCACCTCTCTTTCGTTTGGTATATCTTTTTTTATATTCGATAGTACAAATATCTTTTTAATACTAAAAATATAAATAATCTTTTTTACTATGATAAATCTCTTTATAATAAATCTTTTTTACTATAATAAATCTCGTATATAAAAAGATACGTTTTTCTAGTAAAAGTCACACCGCGAATCTTATGAATACTCCAATGAACAATTTTGTCCGTACAAATCAACGTGTATTAAAATTGAATCATAAAGTAGTACTCTAAACTCTGTTACATCAACGTGTGCCTCGAATTGAAACACATCTTCATCTAACGAAGATCACTCAATAAATTTTCTCCTCTGATTTACTCAGATGTTTTAAATTATCCTGTACAGGTTCTTGTTTCTGACATATCGAGCCGTTGCAACGATGAAACACGTCCACCTCGGATTGAGGTTTCGGATCAGGCGAAATCGAGGCGAGATACAAGAGTGGTTAAGATCAAGGCCGGCTCTGGCGAATTCTGGCGGATCAATTACGAAATCGTTTTTCGTTACTAGAAATTGGAACGACGCGTACGTGGCCCGCATCGGAGAGGAGAGGCGACACGCTTTAAACGTTCTGACCGAGAAAACGGCGACTGCATTCTTCTGGCGCTTGTAGGTCGGACGCGAGAAAGAACCTTTCCAGCTCGCTAGCACCGCGAAATTCTCTCTGCTCGTGGCCTAACGCCTGTAACGGCTGCTCAAGATCCGTCCACTTCGAACCAATTATTCTCACTGACGTTTGACGAGTTTATTACTACTTGAAATGGATCGCACCGAAGACAGTTTAACAGTTTAGAACAAAATTCTCCGTTAAAATTTTCCTTCCAAATTTCTCATTACAACTATCAAAAATACGCATATACTTCTCTCAATTGCATTTCAAGAATCATGCGAAAAAAAAATTATAATCTGCGTAGCTTTTTACGTATTAATTATCTTTTCATCGATCGTATCATAATTATTGACACGTCCCGTATAGTATCATAATTATTCATCGAATATCATTTTGTTGCAACGTTTCATTGTTGTTGTAAAATTCTACGGCATTTTTTACGTCACGTTGTCATAATATATTTATAAAATCGGTAAAATATTGAACGTGGTATTTTTTCGATGGAATTTTTAATAAACACTCGTTAAAATTAATTTGACGACGAAATTTTCAGACTGAAAAACAGTCAGACTGAAAAAGACGTCTCATAAACAATGGCCTGAGTGTCTAAACGTGAGAAATTGTAACTGCTTCTGCCATTGACTGTACGACCTTCTGGAAAACTTTGATTTACGACTCATTGTCTTTATTCAATTTACTACGAATCAGTATACGCGATCGTCTTGACAAATAACAATCGTTTCGAGCTAAACTTACTTAACGTAAGCTTACTTAATCCTATTAGAGGTAAAAAGGGAAACCGCAAAATACAAATGCCTGAAACCAGCTACTAGTCTAGCGGGCATAAACCTTAAGGCATTTACTCACCAGCAGTGCGAAAGTGTACAACATTTTATGACTACTCTGTGTTTTTTAATAAAGTAATAAACTCAATACAATAGTAACAAACTAAACTCGTAATGAATTTACAAACTTATAAAAAAAAAAGATGAAAGAACATTTACTCGTTGGTATTCAAAAATATTAAAATACCTACATACTACTAATTAATAAGTTGATTAATTACAAGTTGCAAACTTCTCTTTCAAATTTTACAATTTCACGTCAAGCAGGATAAAATTAACCGTTGTGTAATTTGTAAAATTTGTTGAAAAAATTTTGTTTATCTCGTACAACAGAATTTACTAGTACTGGTAATTTATGACTCGAGACTTGTAAAATTTTGCTAACAATATCAATTTAAATAATTATACAAAGAAAAAGAAATACAAACGTCTCAATACATGGATATAGTTGTCCTCCACATGTCCAGAAAATTCTCAAACTTTAAACGTTTCAAAAAGCCATCTATTACGAATATTACATAAACAGATAAAACGACAAATTGTTCGCAAACTGTTCACGAACAGTGAGAACGTACCTTTACAATTCGAACGAACAAAACTCGAACAATCCCCGTCGGTCATGAAAGCCAGACGGCAGTTAATCACACGGTAGCAAGAAAACTAGTTGAGCAACAATGAAATAACAATGATCGGCGATTAGTTCGTTGGTTCGATCGATCGCGATATGTCATCGCGAACGTGGCGGAAAAGATGAAGATGTATATTCGCAACGGTTATCCAACATTGAAACGAGGCAGTTCCGTTATTTTCCAGGTTGGAGAAAAGAAAGGACGTGACACGACATGTGAGAGGGAAAATCGCACAGTAACCTCGTGAAATACCAACTGGCCAACAATCGGTGTGCTCGAGGCGACGCGATGCTTGCATTCCGATGCAGTCTTTCTTTCGTCGCCATCGTTTCCATTCCGAGATGATTGTAACGTTACAGTTGGAAACATTTCGTTTCGAAGAAGAATCTTTCGATTTCGCTCGCAACAATACAGATTTCACATTCAAATTCAAACAAAATGTTCGTTTGCTAAAAATTAAAGAAGCTTTGTAGAAAATGAAAGAATGTGATGAGCTTCGATTTATTTATCATAACTGTAGTTTGATACTCATCGATTCAATATTTTCGATATTTGTAAATTTGTATTTTATTAGTTTTATTAGTATGGTATTTGTATATTTGTAAATTTGTATTTTCGATATTTGTAAAATCACTAAATTAATCGCTGTTGGATAAATGATATACGTATAAATTAGGTGAGTCGATTTAAGGATAATTTAAAAATCTGAAGATCTAACGTTCCAGAGGATATATCAATAGCTATTGGATAAATGGTATGCGTATAAATTAGGTGAATCGATTTGAGGATAATTCAAAAATGTAATCTGAAGAACTAACGTTCCAGAGGATGGCAAATATTCAGAACTTGTGATCTGAGATTTGACAAAAGATGAGGATTCAAAGAGCTAGAGAACTGAGAACTGGAAGATAACTATAATAGGATCGATGATTTACCAGAGATTATCGATGATTGCGACGACACGCTGAGTCTATATTCAATTAATTTCCAGCGTATCGGGGGGAATCGTTTACACCCACATACCGTGAGGGCAATCAACGGATGTCGCAATTAAATTCCGATATCTCGGTCGCATAAATCTATGGAAGATGCGCGTGTGCTTATTTTACCGTGCATCCTGTTAATATTCACTCTTCTCTAAATCTCTGATCAAAACACAAATATACAGAAATATAAAAATAAATAAACGAAATCTCAGAGATTTCTTGAATATTTGTCGTTTTCAACGTTATAAAATGGAGACCTCAGTCTTCAAAATGATGACAGAATTTTCTTAATGCTTTTATATACGTTTGAATTTCTACAATTTTCGAGAAAAAAGTATTCTCACTTTCCCACACGTTAGATGATGTAAATTCATTCTTGAAAAATACGAACCCACGACTGTCAAATTAGAGGCTTTATGTTTTAAAATGAATTCACCAAGTGAATTCTTTTTACGAAATTATATCAATTTAAGTTATTGACAATTTTTCACTATTATCGCTACAGTTATGCTCTTCACTGTACATGCGATGATTAAAATTAAATATTATTAAATTAAAATTTAATATTAATTAATATTGTTAAAAATATAGTCTGCTATTATTATTAAAATTAAAATTTAATATTAATATTAAATTTAATTTAAATTTAATATTAATATTAAAATTAATATTGTTATAAATATAGTCTGCTTTTGTCATATTTGATCCACAATTCGTAACGAACGTGACTTCATATCATAAAGTTCAAATTTAACTTTATTTAACTCGTAGCTTTTCTAAATTAATAAAAATTATCTCATATTGTCTATATTTTCTTCCTGAACATCTTATATTTTATCCAGTCACAGGTTATTTCGATTGACTATCGTAACTCAACAATATCTTCAATACGGAGTCAATATGAGCAAACGTTCAATCGTCGTTCAAGCGTTTCCTCTTCCATTGACTCCGGGGAATGCATACGATGGAATGCTCACGAGCCAAGGCGACAAACACCGTTAAGAATCGCCGCGAGTTTGCCGGTAGTCGGTCTGAAAATCTCGCATAAGCGAAAGTAGAGAAAGCTGTGTATCTCGTGGCAAGGCCGTCTCTGGCTCGGACTCCTTCGACATGGAGGATGCCAGCCGGATCACGCAGGAATGGCTCGTTAGCATTCTTCCGCGCTGTTTCACACGTACAACTGGGAATATAATTAGAA